TTTGCCCACTTTTGTAGATGTCATAGAGTGTCAGAAACCACATAAACAAGGCTAGCGCCAAAATTTGGGACACTCAGGGTGTTTTTCCACTTATCCTGAATAATTGAGTCTGCATACAGGCCTGATTCTGGGCTCGTGTTGGGGAGGATCTCATTATCACTGGTTTGCTTTCACACACAAGAATTAGATCCAGATTGTGGATCGATTGCGCAATTCCAGCTGTCACTTTACTGTGCGCTGGTTTGCAAACTGGTCAGCACTAGCTTCATCTGTTCACTGCTTTTTATTAGTTTCTTTGGATACAAACACTCAAACGGTGAAGAGCAGTGCTTTTCAGATACATGGTACTTCACCGTGAAGGCTGAAGTGGCACACATCTGATTTTTTGCTCTAATGTGACTCAGATCTGATGTTTTCAGAGCTGTGTGGACACAAATCTGATTTTTTAAAATCCGACCCGTGCCACTTTCATATGTGGTCCTAGATCGGATACGTATCCGATTCACGGCCATGTGACCTTAATGTGACACTCAGATCAGAATTCATGTGCTTTTTTTCCACTGAGCGTGACCATCATTCAGCGTTACCATGGCAGCAGCGCCGAACAGAAGTTAAAGCCTGTAAACGGTGGAAAAGCAGCTCATCTCACCTTTTTCTCCTTCGTCTCGCTCTAATAATGAAGCTGAGAGCTGATCAGAGTTAATTATCTTCTCAGCGAAGCTCGTTCTGCTCGTTAGTTTGTGCTGATGATGAACGTGATTCATTCACGTGACGTTACTGAGTAGGATGAGCTCATGAGGGTCATTTCAGGACGCCGGTTCGTCACATTAATGACAGATTTGAGTCACTTAACTAAACGAGTGTGAACCATCGAGTCAGAGAGATCGGATTTGAGCAAAAAATCAGATTTGAGCAACGAGGCTTGTAATGTGAACGTAGCCTAAATGGACTGATCATGCAACCCTACACCCGACACCGGGGGGCACATAGCTTCCACACACACAACAGAACTGAACCCCAGACCACCGGGCCAGGACCAGAGATCGGCTCTCGGACTCAAAAACAGCTCTTACGCTTTACCATACGCCCCGAATTGGCAGAGCAGACGGTTCTAGGTCTGGCAAAAAACCCTAGAATGAAAACGCCCTGAGAGACAAACAAGTTTTGATTGACTACGTTCAGGTTAAGAGGTGAACTGTGCACGTTTGTGGCTGAACCACCACTTCGGTTCATCCCATTTTCTGCTCTGAAGCGCTGTCAACAGGTTGTCTCTCAAAGACAGGCTAGACCGGTTGATGATGGGTTGATTTGTAGGGAATGTTTGAAAATTGCAAGGGAGAGTGATGGAAAAAGGAGCGATGGAAGAAAACGTTCGTAGAGGAACAATCAGAACCAAAAGAACCTGGTCGATCTTTGTCCGAGGTTGTACATTTCGATACGATTTAATGTTGTTCCGTCTCTTCCTGCACACACAGACGTTCCGCTTCACGCAGCGCGAGTTTAACGTGCGTCAAGAACAAATTGTTCCACTGCGGTTCTTCATGTTACATAGTAAATACGTTTCATCATGGACTTTTAATCTGATCAGCTTGCGGTAAGTTTATGAGAGTAATAGAATAGCTGTGTAAATATGGTCAAACTCTAGGAAACTTGAACTGAAGCGTCATGTTGAAACCCACAGCTCAGTGGTTTAAATGCTAATGCTGCTAATGGTGGGCGAAAGGGAATAGCCACAAATTAGCATTATGCAAATGGAATAGTGCTGCTTGATCGTTCCGTTCATTGTCAGCCACATTAGCATATTCGGTTGAGCTTCTCCTTTAACTGCGAGTGGGAAGAAGGTGTATCCTGGTTGTCAGATGGTGTGAGATAACTCTGCTGCTAGTTTTTGAAGAATTGCTGGCATCTATATGGTGGTGATTATGGCAACCGTCGTTCACCATTTACAGTAACATTAATAGTGTCAATACCAAACCCTTCAGAACTCCTGTCCGGTTTGTGCTACTTGTGTTTACAAGCCTTCAAGGTATTGATTGATTAACAGTCTAAGGATGGCTGGTATTATTAGTTTTTCTTAACCATGGTCTTCAGAGTCGATTCACTCGCTAGTTCAGTTCGTAGTGAATCAGTTCAGTGGTCTGTGGTACCAGGAGGTCACGAAACGCCGCTCCTGTCAAGTTCTTTTAAAGTTCTTTAAAGACGGAGCCAGAAACTTTAATTTTATATTTTTATTTTTTTATTTGTTAGAGCTGGAGACGCTTCTCTCGCTCCCTAAAACAAAACGAAACGTGGCGTAAGTTTTGCTTCAGACCTCATTGGCTTAACATTTCGTATTGCCAGCTATTCGACTCAGTTTAAACCCAAAACTAGCATTTAAAGTGTCTCCTCAGCCGCCGTTCGCTCCTCTGCTGACGCCGCTGTGTTCTCGAATCTTTGCCGGCACGCGGTGAACCTCAGGATATGTTGGCTGGCGAAGGACCCACCCGTTGTTGCCATGGAAAAGAAGGACACGTTTCTCGGACGCATATGAAGGAGCCTTCGAAATGGGACGGCCTAGTCGCGCCGCTGTGACGCCGTCGGCCTTTAAATGCAGCCTCCGAAGGACGCAGCCCTTGAATTGGGACGCGGCTCTAATCAACTTGAGCTCGCTCATTAGATTGTGCTTGGCAATGTTGTTATATTTTGACTCAGATATTTCAGTCAATTACCATCTTTTTCACTTTGTTTACGCTGACCTACATTCAGCCATGTGCCAGTCACACACTTCATCACAATACAGCCTTGCCTGGCCTTTGAACACTTCATTAATCATCAGAATAATTGGGGAACTACTGCATTAGTGATATATACAGTAACGTAAGGCCTGTGTGGAAACTCTGAACAATGTGTGGTAGCAGTTTCTCTCCTGTCATGGACACTTCAGATGGCCATTAGTGAGCAGTGGAGCCTTTAGATAGTCCTTTTACCTGGAAAAAAAATCTATAGAGATCATTTAGCCTGTCTCTTAGAGCCCATTTGCAGAGGCACCTCTTAGGAGTGTAGCAGGCGGTCAGGGAGATTTAAGCTGGCCAGAATCCACTCTGGGTGTGAGAACGCCTATTAAATGATCTTTTCCTACTTAATGTCGGTCATACTTGCGCTAGTTTGCATGGCCTGGGTCTCGGGTGTCTGTATAATTGGAAGGTTTGTCGTTGTTTTTACCTCTTTATGTATTTGTAGTTGTGAATTAGACTGAATACTGCTGTTGTGATTAAACCGCTGCCTATTGCGATGCACATATTGAAATAATTTTAACAATATTATTATATATGGTATTATTTTGGTGATGATTAAAGATCCTGCATTATTTTGATCCAAATAATTTCTCATTTGGAGCTGTGATGGCTCAGGATGCTCACAGCGTATAGTAAAAACCGCTGTGATTGGGTAGAGGATGCTTGCGTATGGTGGCCTTGTGTCGTTTCAGTAGTGCAAAGGCAAATATCACAATTAAACTGTATCACTGAGGTAACAAGGTGGGATTTACTTCCCTTTTGATAAACTATGACCTATTTTTTTATTTTTTTCCCTTCACGTCGGCAACATGTCGGCAGATTGTGGTGACACAGTTACCTCAGTTATTCTACCATGACGGCGTTTTGCATCAGGCAGTTCTTCTTGCAGCTGTCATTTTCCACTGCTTGACAAATGTGTTGTCTGGAGTTTTTCTGAAAACAAAATTCGCTGCTCTGGTGCTGTTCCAGTCAGGGTTTGTTTCCGTGACGTGTACGATTTGGTGAGAACCGTCATTCTGCTGTTTTTTTGTGGTAGTGAGAGTGAAAAGGTGCCTTTGCTCACCGAGGAATGGGCAGCATGACATTTTCCCAGTAATATATCAGAAACTAATCAGTACCCGTGTATATTTGGAAGAGCTGTGTGACATTTTTGATATTAATATAGTCATAATTCCATGCGTTTTGGTATTTTTGCTTGGGTGAATGGTTCTCCACAGAGATTTGGTAGAAAAATGCTGGAGTGTTCCTTTAAGGGGTTCTGGTGGCCTCTCTAGACAGGCAGCTCCAGTCCGTTCCACGGCTCCGCTCCGGATTTTCAGGCCCACCCTTGCACTGGCACTACTTTGAACAACAGATTTTTTTCCTCCCTCTCCATAGTGGGATCATGGGGATAAGTTATAGGGCTCTGGGCTTGGGGGGTTGGGTGCCCAACAACCCTAAAGGGCCAAGCATGGCTACACTGCGCTTTTCCATTCGCAGTCTCTCCC